ATCTGTCTGTGCCCGGGTGTGTGTGAGGGTGTGTGAGGGTGTGGGGCCTGGGCGGGAGCAGGGCAGGGAGTTCTGCATCTTGAGAAGTTGTGAGCTGAGCCCAGGGGCTCTGTGTGTGTGTGTGTGTGTGTGTGTGTGTGTGTGTGTGTGTGTGTGTACCAGCCTAGAAGCACCCGCCCCAGGGGGGGCCCGCCCCTGAGCTAAGAGTTGTGAGGTGTCGAAGGGTGCGGGGGTGTGGGGCGCTGTGTGCTCACAGTCCAGTGCTTGCTATTTGGGTTAAGTGTGTAGTAAGTGCAGAGTTGTGCAGCAAGTGTGGCTGAGAGTTGTGTGTGTGCCCGCGTGTGTGGTCCAGCCTCGAGGTGTGTGTGTACGGGGTGGGGGGGGGAAAGCACAGTGGGGTGTTGAGAGAGAGCGCCCCTCACCCCCTGCTTCCCCCCTGCCCCTCTCATCCCATTCACAGAACATGGCTTTCACTCCTCCTGTCGCCATGGCTGCGGGGAGGGGGTGGGAGGAGACAGTTGGGGCCAGCCGCTGCCCCTGCTGCTCCAGCTAACCCTCCACCTGCCCTTTCTCTCCCTTCCACAGGCTGGGCCCCATCCCCTGCTGCTCTGGGGGGCAGGGGCCGGAAGATGGTGGCCAATGAGGAGGGGGAGTGGAGAGAACTTGAGCCGGGCCTCCCCTCCCCCATTTCCTCCTCGGTCTCTACACCGCCTCTGGAAGGAGCTGGGGGATGGCTCCTGGGCCCAAGGTGGGGGAGGGGCCCGGCTGGCTGGTGAATCGCTGGGAATCCCGCTCTGGAATGAGTTGGGTGTGAGAGCTGAGTGGATCTCGGCCCCAGCCCCCTCTCCCTTATCTCTTCAAGGAGACATCTGGGCACTCCTTGGTGAAGAATCTTCCCTTGGCTTCCCTGAAGCTTGCTGGGCACTCTGTTGACAAGCTCCAGTTCCCAGCTGGGACTGGTTTGCCCAATCCAGGAGCAGAGGCCTGGCGACTGACCCTAGCCGGGCCTTAATTTCCGTCCACCAGAACTACAAACTGTGGGACCAGGGTCCCGTGTTTGCAGATCTCAGGAACAAACTCCGCCTGGGAGGGCGCGAGAAAATCTTGCCTGCTTCCTGAGGGGGGTGGGAGAAGGCTGGAGGGGAAACCCAGAGAAGAGCTCCCAACTGGAATTCTGCCCTCCATCCCTCCTGCTAGCTATGGAGTGAGGAGGAGGGCATGGCCCGGAGGCCGCCCCATTGCCGGGAGGCCTTCATTGGTCGGTGCTGGAGAGGAATGGCCCCAGCCTCTGCCCCTCTGGGCTGCACACAGTTCACGGGGTCAGAACTGGAGCTGGGCTTCCCCGGCCACAGCTCTACCCCGCTGGAGCGCTGAACTGTCGGCCGTTCAGGTGTCCCCCCAGGGCGGTCTTTTGGCTTTGGGTTTTAATCAGTCTCAAGATTGCTTATCCGGGGTTTAACTTAGGTAGGATGGGCAAGTTCTGGGTGAGCTTGAAGACTTCCTGATGGGAGGCCCTGGATAAAACAAACAACTCAGATTCTAATCCCACTGCAAGTAGGGAAGCCTATCCCTACTACTCATGCGAGAGGGGAACTCACCGTTTTGTTTCATGCGGAATCCATAAAATCCATAAGGTGGATTTTGAAGACCTCAGAAAGGAGATGCATGGGTGGGGTGTCACCTGCAGCTTCTGCCTCCAGGCTTGGAAGCGTCTCTGTGCTGCCTAAGGACCTGTGACTATAGCCCCCACCCTCTGGTCCTGGAGCTTCATCTGAGGTCCCCTTGAGGCGTGGAACTCCCTTTTAAACTATGAAAGAGCTTTAGGGTAGGGAAGAAGAGAGAGCTCTGCAGTCCCAGTCAGGAAATCCTCCAGAATGGAAGCTGGCAGAGACACAAATCCAGATCAACTGCTTCATGTGAGTGACCCCCAAACTGCTAGGACTTCTACCAGTCACTTCCTGTGAAGACTGCGTGTCAACCTCAAGGTATCCCCTCGGCTGCCTCCATGGATCCTGTCGGCCATCTCAAGACCTCAAGAAAAAGGTGGTCTCAGTGCTGGGAAGGAAGTAAGGAAGAAGGCAGAAGGAGGAGTGGAGAGAAAATAGATTAACCCTCAGCATGGAGGAGAAGGGCAGAGGGAGGCTGAGTGGGCTAGGAGACCTGGACCGGGGGCGAGGAGGCAGGGCCGGCACGCCTCTGCTGCAGGCCGGAGCTCTTTTCACATTGTGCTACTGTCTGCACCTACCACTAGCAGTGCAATGTTAAAAGGGCATTGGCCGCGTAGCGCTACCAGCGCCGGCTGCCTCCTCAGCGCCCCCCCTTAGCGTCGAGACTTCCTCTCCCATCTGGGTGCCAACCTGCCACCCTGGTGGGAATGCGAGAAGCCTCGCTGTTAGAGTCCGAAGAACAGCTCACGTTTATGGAAGCACTACGGCATGCAGACCACGTTCTAGACACTTCTGCGTTATGGTGAACACTAACTAATGACTTCTTGGCAATGCCCCCATTTTACAGATGAAAAAACTGAGGACCGGAAGGTTTAAGCAATGTGGCCAAGGTTATACAGCCCTGAAATTGCAGAGCCTAGATACGGGCCTGTCTTAGGTCTGAGCTCATCCATCTTTTTGTAGACCTACCTGAAGAGGTTTGGGTAGGCTCTCAACTGGGAGAGTACCTGAGCTGAGGGGTGGAAGGTTTTGATGCCATCTGCTGGTTGTATGAAGGTATCTTCCAGTCTCAAGCCTTTAGAGATAAAAATGGCGGCTTGCTGGATAAGAGGGAGGAGCCCCGAGAGTTGGTCTGGGATTAGAGGGTGGACGGAAGAGATTGGAAGAACCCTGTTAGAACCTGAGTAGACAGACCTCCATAAGAAAAAGGGGTTGCATAGGAAAGGGAAAAGGGTTAACCAGAAAAGGACTGGCCCCAGGGACAAGGACATGGTTTTTAGGACCCCCTTGGTCTCATTCCACACCCGTGGCTCCTTTCCTGGTCCTTGGGGCATAGAAAGGAGACCTCACCTCCACCTGTAATTAATTCCCAGCATGACCCCTCTTGGTCACAGGTATTTGATAATGCTTCTTGAGGCATCCAGGCTTTGGACAGTATTGCCCGTGGGCTGATCATAGAAACGAAATAGGATCCCTGAGCCAAGCCTGTAGAATGATTCTCTCAGAAGAGATTACAAGGAACTTGAAAGCAATGACTATGTCATTTACTTCTTCGTTTTCCACAGTGCCTAGTTGGCTTAATAAATTGAGAGAGGCATGTTTGAGCAGCCTTAAGAAGGCAGCTGGTTTGTGCTCAATTTTCAAGGTCAGAGGTTGGGGCTTCAGAAACCTTCCTGAACTTTGGTACAAGAAACAGGACCGAGCAGGACAGGGTTCTGGATCCCTTGCCGGAGCCTGAGAGGATCTCTAGGCATCACCAGGTATTCAGAAACTGAACGATGGGACAGACCCCTCCACCCCAAGGCCTCCCAGATGGGGGTGCTGGACATCGTTCCTCCATGGCTTGAATTTGCCTTCTCGCCCCTCTGTCTGCCAGTTCCCTTCTGTCCTTCGGCTCAGCTTCTCCAGGTTGACGTTGCTAATAGTATTGGTGATGGTACACAGTTTGCTTTATGCCCCTTCAGTCTATTAACATTTCTATGTGACTCTCTTCTCTGGGTACAAAATAGCCATTTAATGATGCCACTCCACTCTTGTTAAAAAAAGAAACGATAACTTTTCAGTGTTTCCCTAATGCCCTGGCATGATATCCAGATTCCCTGAATGTTTATGGCTGCTGCCTGTCTTTCCTGTGTCATCTCATCTCTCACTTGTACCTACACTCCAGTTACAGGAAACTTACTTTCACACATTGACTAAGCTTGAGCCACTTGACACAATTCTCTCTGCCTGAAATAGTCCCCATCCTCCCACTCTTCCCTTTCCCCACCCAACTTCTCATCCTTCAAGGGCCATCATAGCCATTACTTCTGCAAAGCCTACCTTGACTCCTTAAATCTAGGCTAAGCCTCTCCTGTGAACTCCATCCCTGTTCAGCACCCTTTTCACCTACTGGAATTGCTTAGCTATTGCTTGTCCTCGCAGTAGACCAAAAGCTCCATGAAATCAGACCATGGCTGCTTGTTCTCTACTGCATCCCCAGTGCTTAACGCAATGCCTGGCAAGTAATAGTTGCTCTACAAATATTTGCAATGTCAATGAATGAGTCTGGAAATTACAAGCTGGCTTACGAAAAAAAAAGTGATTTTTATGATGTGTACAGTCCTCCCTGCAGTTGTCGGTGACCCAACAACAATAGGAATTTCACATCTCTGCCAAAAATTGCACTTGGGTCACATGGTTCCACTGATGCTGCAATTTTGAGCTGTTTTGTTCCACTACGTATCAACCGCTAGGGCAGCGTCTTGGCTGATCGATTTTCCTTTTAGTCTTAAGTGTGGCCATGAGCTGACCAAAACCGTACAGAATCGGGCAGAAAGGCAATGGGATCCAAGAGCACCCTTCTTTCAGGGATGTTCCTCTTCCAGGAGTCCAATCCTGGGTCTAGGCAAAAATGGATTCATTGTCAAGGGCTCCGGAAGATGCACTATTTTGGATGCTCCAGCTGGACTACACACAGAAGCCATCTCTTACTAAGCAGAACCTCACCTGGATGCCCACCTGGTTAAAAGCCAGCGGGGGCTCTTGCCACAGGCAGTGATTGCTGCCCCCTAGTGGCATGAAGGGACAGGTTTCTGGGGGTGCACGTGACTCTGGTACAAGCATAAGGAAAGTCAGAGGACAGCGCCTCATAGCTGCTTTTCCCCCTTTTTATTAAAAATAGACCCAAACGCTTTATGTATCATACAAAAGTTTCATTCGCTGGTGGCAGCAACGAGGAAGCCTGGCCCCGTAGCGCTGATTTCCCACCTCCCCTTCGAGGGCCTGGCTCCCAGGGAGCAGTGGCTGGGCCTCAGAATGCCCACAATGACTGCTCACTCTGGAAACAGCCAGCTGGGGTGGGGGCTGTTTTAGGGGCAGCTTACCCCAGCCCACCCAATGGCAAAGGTTAGATGCTCGAAAGTGCCTCTCTAGTGCCAAGATAAACAAGTGGAGTGAAATGGAAACCCTTCCGATTCCTTTTATTTCCCAGGGCCTGGGATTGGGATTTTTCCCTCCACCCCCAAGTCCTTTCTCCTACAGATGGGGTGGGATGCTTCACCCTCAGAGATTGGTATCTCCCAGTGTCTCAGGCCGAAATTTCACTCCAACCCAAGCTGCTTCTCATCTGCTATTCTGTGGCCCAGGATCTAGTGGCCCCACAACTCAAGATTTGTCCCCTGTTCACTCAAAAACTGACTCCTCCCATGGTCCTCTCTGCCTGAGTGTATGCCCTGCCCTTGCCTCGGTTAACAGGACCTTGGGGCTAGGAGGGCCCACAACCATCCCTTTCCCCCAGTTCTGTCCCTGACTGCTGCCCACTCCTGAGCCTTGAACACCCCTGGGAGTGAAGATTGGAGGCGGAGGGCTTGGTGGGAGCTGGGTTCCCCCAGGGGTGGGGCAGTACTCATGCTGGTGTGGACTGCTTGGCAGGGCCAGGGGACAGGTGTGGGAGGGTGGGGCATGCGGAGGAAGGGCACAGCCTGCCTGAGCCCCTCAGTCCCAGCCGTTGTCCTTCACCATGTGTGACATTTCAATGATGTACTTTCCCTCCTTGTACTTCTGGCTCGTCTCAAAGGCCTGTTCCTGGTGGAGAGGAAGCAGTGAATGTGGGACCAAGCTGTTCCCTTCCAGGTCCTCCTACTAGTTCTATTACCCCTGCGCCCAAAATCCCCCTCCCCACCCAGTCCACCTGGTCCCACCCTCTTCCCTCTGGACCACGCAAAAGACCTGACATGCAGTCACTGGGGCTTGGAGGGCCATGGAGACTCCACTTTGGAGGGTCCCCCCAGGTACTTACATATTTCCAGCCCAGTGTGGTTTTGCAGCTCTCGCAGAAAATATCAGCTACCGAGTGCAGCCCCGTGAGCAGGAGGCGCTGTTCAGCTGGCCCGCAACCCACGTTGACCCTGTCTCAGGAAACAGGAAGGACCCAGCACCCAGTGGGGTGGCTCTGTCAGTCCAGCCCCCAAGTAGCCCAAAAGGAACTTCCATCTGGAGAGAGCTCAGCCCACCCGACGGGAAGCCCCTGCCTTCAGCAATCCAGCCCTTCAGGACTCGCGCCCGGGCCTTCTTTCTCCAGTGCGGTGAGTCCAGTTCTGCCCAGACTCCCCACAAGAGAACTGCAGACTGAGGTTCTGAACCCTTTTGCAAGAGGAGAGGCAAAACAGAAGGTGAAAGGCCACCTTCCAATGGCTCATCCCCTTTCTCCACAGAGGAAAATTATGCACACACACAGTCACACACACACAAGGAGAGAGGTGGACTCACACGGAGTTAAACAGGTAGGCTCGGCCATGGCTCCCTTGGAAGGACTGTGGAGACAGGACAGACAGTGACTACTGGGTGGCCCATGGCCCCACTGCCTGAATCCCCAGGGGCATGGAGGAGGGAGGACAGGCTGCCTTGCCTCACCCCAGGTGAGTTTGGACAAGCCCAGTGGGAGAGAGGAGGGGAGTGGCAGGTGCCCGCTTGACGTACCTTGGAAATAAGCTCATCGTGTTTAGCCAGGTGTGCACGGCAGTGGACACAGCTGTAGGTGCGGTGGCAGCGGGGCAGGTAGCTACGGAATGTCTTGGCGGGGAGGCAGGCAGGGCCTGGGCCGGGGTCACAGCTGGGCATGACGGGCTGGAGGACGATGCCCTGGCGGGCAGGGGGGGCTGGCGCCGTGCAGCCCCCACACAGGCGGTCGCAGGTGAAGCAGCGGAGCAGGTTGGCTAGAGCCGTGTTTCAGAGCAGGCGAAATGTGGGGGGGCTGCCCGGCCAGGGCCCCCCCAGACGTGAACCAGATAGAAATAGAAGTCACCTGGGAAGAGGGGAAGGTGTGTCAGGAGCGCCGTGACCTCGCGAGGCGCCCCTCCTGAGGGAATGGAGCAGATGGGGCTCATCTCGCCCCTGCCCCTCCGCCCCCATCACCATCGGTCCTCTCGGCGTTCAGTCTCACTGAGCCTCCCGGTCTCCGGGACTTCCCGCCTGCTTAGCAAGCCCGGCAGCGGTGCCCGGCCTCTGGTGCCACAGCCGGGGAGGTGGTGTCTCTCCCTCCTGGGGCTAGAGCAGCCTCCACCATTTTCCACCGGGAGCAGCCCGCTGGCGCAAATGCTGCCATGGGAGCAGCGTCATCTGCCAGTGCTCCCTCCTCGATTTCGGTTCTTTGGTGTGGATCTGCCTCCCACATGCTCTGATAGGCTCTGGGGCTCGAAGTCTTTTCAAAGTTGGGGATGCCTGGCAGTTTTCCTGTTCTCCATTTGCAATGCAATTGGTCCTTCGTACATTTCGTGTGGGAGGAGGGGCATGCTGAGAGGGAGGGAGGGAGGGCAGGCAGGCAGGTGCGCACACCTTGCTTCAGCCCTCTCCTGGGGTTGGGGTCCTTGTCTCTGGGAAGAAGAACTTCATGGATGGCCCCTGCAGGGCCAGGGACCTCAGGCATGGCCACGGCCCATCTCTGCACTTTGGTCCAGTCATTTTGGCCCAGAAGCAGCGCCTGGCTGTCTTCTCAGCCTCTGAGCCCCTTGGTCTCTCTTGCTCCTTACTAACTGTTGCCTTAGTTCTCAGTTAAGGACTTAGCCCCTCAACTGTAGGAGAGAAACTCCTTCGGGCAAATCTGACAGCTGGAACCAACAGGAAATGGGGACCACGGCAGGGAGGCCAGCGCTCCCGGGCTGAGCAGGGCTGGGTGGTGTGGTGTGGGGGCAACGTCCACCACAGGCAGCAAAAGGGGACTCGTTTTCAAAAGCTGTGCTTTGGGGCACGAGGCAGAAAGTGGGTTTTTTTCCACCTTCTCCCAGGGACAAACAGCAGTGCCTCTGTGGGGGACAGAAGATAAAATACTTGCTGGGTTCTGATTAGAAATTTTAAGAAAGATGTTGATATCTGTCCAAACTCCTGCCCCCGAGTGGCTGGGGGTGTGGAGGCCGAGGATAAGAAGGGAGGTGTCCTCTGTGGCTCCGATAAGCAGGTGAGCTTCTGCCTTCTTCATGGGGCCGTCGGGCTCCGTCATGAATGGTGTAGCCCAAGTCTGGGTTAGAGGTGTCAGCTGGGTATCTGGCAATGCCAGGCCATGAAGCAGAACGGAGGCGGCGTGGCTCCGGGTCACCAGGGCAAACAGGCTCCCATCCGGGGGGCGCTGCTAGTGCCCCAGCTGTTCCAGTCTGTCCTGGGGCCACCAGGAGGTCTCTCCACAAAACCCCATCAGAGACCACCTTCAGTTTCAGGTCCTCTCCCCCTGGCTGGGCCCCAGGAAGACACCTTGTGCTGAGTTCAGGGTGACATTGGGCTCTGGCCGCAGGAAGCGGGCCCTCCTCACCAGCACGACACTGGTCGGTGTCCACTTCACTGGTCTGCCTCCAACTGTGCCTGTGAGTACCCCTCTGCCGCTCCACCCAGCACACCTTCAAGGGGCGAGGGAGGGGGCCGGCCAGGTCCCTGCTCTGCCTCCTTCCCCATCCTCCGTCACGCCTCCCGCCCTCTCCCCAGCTTCCCCATCAAGCCAAGAAGAGGCTGCACAGAAGGCTAGAGAACCACTCGCAGGCGGGGGAGAAAGGGCATTTCTTCCCCGACTCCCGTCACCGGGAGAAGCAAGTTGGGCAAATGACTGGGAAAAAAACAAAGGCGAGCTGAGTGCTGGGGAGAGGATGTTCCCCCAAGTGAGCCGGGGCTGGACCGTGGGAGGTAGCGGGGAGAGAGAGGGCTGGGATGGGGGTGCCGAGCAACCCTTGCCGATAGCAGGACCCCGGAGGCAGAGGCTAGAGGAACCAGGTGCGAATCCCGTGCCTCTCAGGGGAAAAAAAAGGGAGGGGGCCACCTGCTCACAATGGATTTTCTCATCTGCTCTGAGGCTTTGGCCCCCTCTGGCTGGCATTCTCGGCATGGTATGGTCCAAAATCATTAGCAGCGCAGCCAGCTCCCGGGGCGGGCTTTGGGGGGTCTGCACCAGCAGCAAAACAATAAACAGTGATGCCTGATGCTGCAGCCAAAGTTGCTGGGAAATAAGTGCGGGAGCCGTGAGAGCTAAGGAGAGGGATGGAGGAGCTGAGAGAGGAGCGGAGGCAGCAGGGAGGGGGAAGGGAGGACAAAGGGTGGATGAATAATGCTTTTGCAAAGGGGAGAAAGCAACACGCAGCAGGAGGAGGAAATTTGCAAGGGGAAAAAAAATTCGTTTGGAGAAGGGCTGCCCCCTCACCTTGAGGTCTGCTCCAGAGATCTCCGTCTATCTCTCTCTCTCTCTCTCAATCTCTCTGCTCACTCTTCTCTCTTCTCTTTCCGCTCCTTCAATTGGGAAGGGGATGGGGGCAGGGAAGGGAGTTAGGGGCTCAAGAAGGGCTGCAAAGCTGGCCAGCTGCTGGGGGCCAGAGGTTGTCTCTCGTCTGTACCTCGGTCTGTGGGTGAATGTAGCTGTGTGTTGTGGTACTGCATCATAACACTGTGAGTCATCCATCCCCCACCCCCCTCACCTCCCACGTCAGAGCAGGGCTGGGAGACACAGGAGGCGGGTCGGGAGGAAGGGAGGGGGCAGGCATCCAGGGATGGGGCTGGGGGAGTGAGGCGTGGGGTGGGAGCAGAGGGACCGGACAGGGAGTGGGCGAGAAAGAGGAGAGACTGACTGGTTGCTGTGGAGAAAGGCAGTGTGGCCAAGGAGATAGAACCTGGGGAGAAGGACAGGGCTGGGCAAGGATGGAGTACGGGTGGCAGGGCTATCGGAAAGGAGGCGGCAAGGCGGGTGACGATGAGAGATGGATGCAGAGTCAGGCGCGTGCACACACGTTCGAGATGATACATTCTTCTTGTCAGTTCAGACGCCAGCCCTGATGCAGAGAAAAGACATACTAATTTAACACATATGGCAAACTGTGCCCCCAAGCTTGTACCAGGCACTTACAAGCTTCGAAGCCTCAGCTTAATACCCTTGAAGGAGTCTAGAGCAAATATGACATCTCACATACAGGAACCTCTCATCAACTACCTCCAAATTTCTTATGCTTCATGAACTGAGACACCCACGTTACATAAGGTTCTCTACTGGGCTGTAAACTTTCTGAGGCAGGTACTCTGGGCAACCCCTCTCTGAGTCCCAGGACTGCACTGCCTAGTGCGGAGATGATGCTCTCAAAACAGCAGTTGAGTTGCATCTTCAGATATGATTCAAGTGTCTGGCGTTGGTTTCAAAGATACCTGAGTTGGAATCCCAGCTCCGCCAATATACTCACCAGGAACCGCTGGGCAACCTACTTTGTGCCCCGGTTTTCCTCTTCTAAATGAAGCTAACAATATTTACATCATGGAGATGTGAAGCCAAGTGAGATAACATGTAAACACCTAAAAAGTGCCTGGCACCTGATAGGCACTTAATAAACAGAAGTTGCTGTTATTTCAAAACCGTGTTCTCAATTTAATGCGCAGAAACCCAGAGAGAGTTTACTATAAAATTCTTTTTTTTAACATTTTATTTTTTTATTCCCTCCCACACATTGGTAACCACTAGTCCATTGTCCATGTCAGTGAGTCTCTGTTTGTCCTGTTCATTTGTTGCTTTTAGGTTTATATCCCACATGTAAGTGATATCATGTGATTTTCAACCGTTTCTGTCTGGCTTATTTTGCTTAGTATGATTATTTCAAGGTCCATCCATGTTGTTGCAAATGGCAGTATTTCATCTCTTCTTATGGTTACTATAAAATTCTGATGCCTCAAGAGACACATATCAAATTTGTGTCTTACGAAGAACTCACACCTTTCAGTGCTATTTTTCTGTCATCTTCCAGTTATAGTTCATTTCACTCAGAATATTTCTCATGGAGTGCTGCTCTGTGCATGTCACTGAAATATGTGGACAACAACATATCATCCAAGAGAACTCCCCACCCCCACCTATTTCTAACAGACTAACATTCAGAAAATGAAGTGTGACAAAGATAGGGACTTACAGAAAGGGCTGCTTGTGAGCTTTTTTTTTTTTTTTCTTTCACAGGTAAAGAGGGGAAAAAATTAAGGTAAGGAAGTATGCTAATGGGAGGCATTGCTAGCTGGGTAAGAATAAAGGAATTCTGAATATTTAATCAAAGATTCTGGGGTTTAAGGTAAATTCCGAAAACACAATGTGGCTGGCTTGAGTGATAGTACCAGAAGTTGGAAGTTGAGAGGGTGAACTTGGTACAGAAAGAAGAGGGAAGTGTTCTTGTCTGGGCAACAGATAAGGAAAGGAGGACTATGAGGAACCACTGTTGAGGAAAACAGCGGGAAGTGGGGAAAAGGAAGGTGAATAGATTTTAGGACAAAGATCGAAAGTTTGGAAACAAAAAAGGATATCGGTGTGAATTAGCTCAGGAAGAAAATGCTCAAGGGTTTAGCTGGAGAGGAGATTGAAAAAGACATATGAAGACAGCGTTATTTGGGGGTGGGGTGGAGATGGTAGGAATGCTTAGTGAAAGTGAGAAAAGAGTGTAGGCAAGCACAGACGCTTTAAATGTGCCCTGACTTTCTGTGTTTAAGAAGCAAAGTGGAGAGCAGTCTGGGTGGGGAGGGGTTCTTCATAAATTCTGTTTGAGATAATTATAAAATATCCAAATAAAGATGACCTTCAGGTAATTGGATGAAATTGCCTCAAGGGAGAGAGTGTGGAGGTAAAAAAAACAGACCTGGAAGACAGACTGCATGGAAACGGGAGAGGATGAGCTCACTCAGGGGAAAAATTTGCGAATGGAAGCCTGGAATTGAATTTTTGAAGAATGGTGAAAGATCGGGGGATACTGAATAGTTCATTGAAGAACTAATGCACGTATGGTGAATGAGCAAAACGATTAAAGCAAGCCATCAAAGGAAAAACTGTAAGAAGTGAGAATGGCACTCGTAGAACGTGAGTGCTAAGGTAGGGCCAGTGGGACAAAGGCAAAGCAGGAAATCTTCCCCGGATTAACCATGTGAGCTTCACTCAAAAAAGTACTCATCTATAAAGTGAAGATGACAACGATAGTATGTACTTCACAGAATTCTTGTGATTAAATGAATCTACACCTGTATAGCTCATAATATGGTACCTGGCACCTAACTCTATATGTGTTTGCTATTATTATAATAACTGGACTCAGACTCCAAAAATCCTGAGCTTGAGTCCTAGCTCAGTCAAGTCCCTTCACCTATCTTCATCTCCCTCATGTGAAATAATAAAACTGACTTTTCAGGGTGCCTGTGAAAGAAGATACCCGAAAGGGCTTTGAGAAATGTAAAACACGGTACAAATGGATGACATTATTATAGCTCCCCCCTCCTCAAAGTGTAATAAAAACTTAAAAGCCAACATCAGATGTGTTCTACACTACAGGCATCATGCTTAGTATTTTATGTGTATCATCCCATTCAATCAACAAAATTCAGAGGTTAGGTACTGTTATCCCCATTTTGCAGACAAGAAACTGGGTCTCACGAGTTTAAGCCTGACTTGCCCAAAGTCACACAGTGAGCAAGTGGCATAGCGAAGAATACAAGATCCCAAAGCCCAAGCTCGTGAGAAGAGATTTATAGACGTGGCCCAACCTGTTGCCTACCGGCTAAATGACCTTGTGTAACTATCAAGGATTTAGGGGGCGAAAAGAGTGCCCAACAAAACTCCCCGCTCAACTGGAGAGAGGTGGTTGGATGACTGGGTAAAGAGTAACCGGGAGAAATTTTTAACTGGGAGAAATTTTTATTTTTATTTAAATGTTTTTAAATGCCCTCTAAGGAAGAAAAATAATAATAAAAAGAAAGAAAGAAAAAACGCCCTCTAGGTGCCAAGCACTGTGTCAGGTAGAGGATAACGGCCCAGGTGGACCTGTGACAATGCCCAAACATTGCCTAGATTTCTTCGTGTCTAAAAGGAGTTATGCTAATTTCGCCACTTCTTGGCTTGTGCTCCAGACAAGCAGGTTATCGTGCGACCCAGACAGCGAGTCCCTCTCCTTTCCCGTCGTCCTTTCCCTCTCCGGGAAGCAGGTGAGAGGCAACACCAGGCAACAGTCCGCATCTGCCGTGCCCCGACGACCGTTGGCCCCTCGGCGGGTCCCTACCCCGCACGGGGGCGTAACCGTCACTCCTACCCGCGTCCGGCCAGCTTGACGAACAATGACGGCCTCCGCTCCTCCCACCTTTGGCGTCACAATCAAAACAATCCTTTAACTACAACTCCCAGAAGGCCGAGCGGCTGCACGAGCGCAACCGCTCGCGGCTGTTCTAATACAACTACATATCCCATGGGGCATCGCGCGACCGTGTCTCCGCCACTGCGCAAGTGCGGAAGCGCCTTCCGGCGTGGCTTTGGGCTCGCTGGGCTCGCGGTTGGTGTTAGGTCCTACCTAGAAGGGCTTCTTAGTTTATCATTCGGGGCTCGCGGCTGTGCAGGTGAGATAATAAGCTCAGAAACAAAACCGTCGCCTTTTGGGGTCCTGGGCAGATTTCGGGTCTGGGGAGGCTGGGACAAATGCCGGACCTAGAGCTGCAGTCCGGTATCGGAAATAATTCTTCTTCCGCATTTTCTAGTTCACGAAGTGTGTTTTTTTCTCCCTCCAACAGTCCAGGTTAATCCCCAGAATAGCACTTTGTGTGAGGAAGTGTAGGTCCTTCCAGCTGACAGCTGAGGAAAAAATTCAGAGAGGTTAAGCGATTTGTCTATAGACACTGCTTACTGGTCGTTGCTGAGCGGGGCCTTGATGCTGTTCTGTAAGTTCAAAACTGGTATTCTCTGCTTTGCATCCGGATTGCGGATGCCCTTTCTTGTTGACTAAGAGAGTTGAGAAGTCAGCATCTCTTTCCTCCCCAAGTTTGGAGTATCCCAGTAGAGTGAAGGGAGTGATGAGGTGATGTAATCAAGTTTCCTGTCAATTTGTAGATAGAGTTTTCTTATGTCTTGAGTCATTTATTCACTCGATGTATTTACAGTGATGCCTACCGGTTATTAAGTCCTGTTCTAGGTACTAGAGATACAGCAGCAAACAAAAATGCCCAAACATTGGGTAGACAATAAAATGTATGGTGAGGCAGGTGGTGATCAGAGATAAAAGAAAATAAAGCAGGATAAGGGGAAACATCCATTGGAGGATTTCGAACGGAGTTCTAACTTATGTTTAGATCTGAAGTTTAATTTGTGTTATAGGCACAGCAGCTGCACAAAAAAGATGGGAGAGGAGGCCAATGATGACAAAAAGCCAACAACTAAATTTGAATTAGAGCGAGAGACAGAACTTCGCTTTGAGGTGGAGGCATCTCAGTCAGTTCAGTTGGAGCTGCTGGCTGGCATGGCAGAAATCTTTGGCACAGAGCTGACCCGAAACAAGAAATTCACCTTTGATGCTGGTGCGAAGGTGGCTGTTTTCACTTGGCATGGTTGTTCTCTACAGCTGAGTGGCCGCACCGAGGTGGCATATGTCTCCAAGGACACCCCTATGTTGCTTTACCTCAACACACATACAGCCTTGGAGCAGATGCGGAGGCAGGCGGAGAAGGAAGAAGAGCGAGGCCCCCGGGTGATGGTAGTGGGCCCCACTGATGTGGGCAAGTCCACAGTATGCCGTCTGCTGCTCAACTATGCAGTGCGTTTGGGCCGCCGACCCACTTACGTGGAGCTGGATGTGGGCCAGGGCTCTGTGTCTATCCCTGGTACCATGGGGGCCCTCTACATTGAGCGGCCAGCAGATGTCGAAGAGGGATTCTCTATCCAAGCCCCTTTGGTATATCATTTTGGCTCAACCACTCCTGGCACCAACATCAAGCTTTATAATAAGGTCAGAGCCAAGGTGGGGTGGAGGGAAGGGCTGCTATCAAGATAAGAAGCTGTGCAGAAGTTTGCTAGTTAGAACTATCTGTGGCCATCTCTTTGCTCCCTCTCAGCTGATATGGCCGCATGATTTTGGAAAAGACAGTTTCAAATATAAATCAGCCTCAGATTGTTAAATGTTTCTGTAGACCTATTAAGTAATTGTAAAATTTCCACAAATTTCCACTTAGGACATGAAACAGGAGACAGTAGAAGCAACATAAAAATTCATGTTATGAAGGCAAAATCACAGTCATTAAAAATGTTTTTTCTACATCATAATCAGTTGTTGTAAAGGAGGACAAAATAGCTATGGGTTTGTGTGTTTTTGTGTTTTTTTCCTTCACCTTGATTCTTTCTTCCGCAGATTACATCTCGTTTAGCAGATGTGTTCAACCAAAGATGTGAAGTGAACCGAAGGGCTTCTGTTAGTGGCTGTGTCATTAACACCTGTGGCTGGGTCAAGGGCTCTGGTTACCAGGCCTTGGTGCATGCAGCCTCAGCCTTTGAAGTGGATGTGGTTGTGGTTCTGGATCAAGAACGACTGTACAATGAACTGAAACGGGACCTCCCTCACTTTGTGCGCACTGTGCTGCTCCCTAAATCAGGGGGTGTGGTGGAGCGCTCCAAGGACTTCCGGCGGGAATGTAGGGATGAGCGTATCCGTGAGTATTTCTATGGATTCCGGGGCTGTTTCTATCCCCATGCCTTCAATGTCAAGTTTTCAGATGTGAAAATCTACAAAGTGGGGGCACCTACCATCCCAGACTCCTGTTTGCCTTTGGGCATGTCTCAGGAAGACAATCAGCTCAAGCTAGTACCTGTCACCCCTGGCCGAGATATGGTACACCACCTCCTGAGTGTTAGCACTGCTGAGGGCACAGAGGAGAACCTTTCTGAGACTAGTGTGGCTGGCTTCATCGTGGTGACCAGTGTGGACCTGGAACATCAGGTGTTTACCGTTCTCTCTCCAGCCCCCCGCCCACTGCCTAAGAACTTCCTTCTCATCATGGATATCCGGTTCATGGATCTTA